TATGTGCAGGGTCCTGAGCAAAAGGAATCCCAAAAAATAGCTTTTGAAAACTGATCTCCTGCACAGCGATAGGACGGAGCCAAAGGGCTAATGGAACGGAGGAACGTGCTGAAGTGTAGAGATTCGGGACAATCCAACCCAAAACTCGTTCATGTTCACGAAAGTTACGAAATTGAAAATTACGAAATGTAAAAGAAATGCAAAAAAGTGTGAAGAAAAGTCGCAAAAAAACTGTACAACAATTGTAATAAAAATATATAAATAATTGTACTTTCTACATCGGGTTCGTCCAGCTGAATGAAGTGAGCTGTGTATGTGGCTGCATTTGCTCCGAGACATTAAGCTAAGAATTGCTTTCCTTATCTTCTAAACGAATTGCTGAACGGAGTCACAAAACGAAAAGAAAGCGCAGCGGTAGTGCTCTGGGCAGACGCGAAGGAAGTCATTGGATCTAATCTCTAGCGAGTTTGCTCTTTTTCAGTGACATCTCGCTAGAAAGATGGTTGACATTTCATTACCGCTGGCTTCTGTATGAAGTTTGCGAGCAGATAAATGCAGTTTCTATGAGGATAGTGTTCCAAATTTGGCGCTATTGCAAAGTACGGGGGCATCCTTCAATACTAAGCCCAGGGATACAGTGGAAAATAAAATTTGCCCATGCACTTTGGAGCCTCTCCTGACCCGCCTAATGGTTAGTACCGCTTAACAAAAAGGGCGTTTTTCCCCTGGTCTAAATGCATTAGCATCACAATGCCCCCATATGTTGAGATAGCGCCCAAAACTTTGCGGAAAAATATACCAAAAGCCAAAATGCCATTATGATTTCAAATGGAAACTGAATGTGTGGCGCATCTCAAAAAAGTTGGTAGGCGAGTTACCTTCAGAAAGTGACTGGTAACTATAGAAACAGAATTTGTAGAGTTGTTTTATGTAAATATTTAGAAGAGATAAGTCAAATTGAAATAATGAAGTCATTGGTCTCACCATCCGTAGCAATTCATCCATCGGTGGCTCTGGCACGGTGCCACTGGACGAAACCATTGTTCCCGATTTTCCGTCGCCATTGAATAGCGACAAATCCCCGAACGGCTCGATTTCCTCCGATTTCACTTCGACGTCCAGCGAGGAACCACGACCTCGACTAGCATTTCTGTCGTTGTCGAGCTGAAGACCGTCATCCTAGAAAATAGGAAATTGCTTGGTTCCGAGTCCCGTACATATCTTCATCCTCTCCATCCATCTATAGTGCCCAGCTTCTTCACTTGCAGTACCCGAAGTTCCATTTTTTATCCCTCCCTCCCTTCCCAAAACCAAAAAGCCCAAAAAACTTTCTGGACATGCTCAGTATTCGTTTGAAGGCAGAATTTACGATCATTGGAAAAAACCATTTGAAACGGCCAGAACCCGAGAAATGGGACCCCTTCCTTGCCCGTTGATTTGCGCATTGATGCGACTCTCATCGCTGTGCCCTCTTCAACACTACGCTCTCTCTGCTATCTAATCACTCGCCACGTATAGACCTGCGGCGAGTGATTAGATAGTCGGTGGGCGTACCCCGCCAACCGCGCCAAGAGTGAGCCATGCTAGATCGCCGAGGTCAAATCTTTCGCTGCCAATTGCGCGTCGGTCAGCACCTCAGGAGGTCCGCCTGTCTCCCAACTATGCAATTTTCCCTTCTTTGACCTTCGTTCTTATCGTGAATTCTTCCTTTGAAGTGAAAGTCAGTTTTCTACAGGTTGAAAGAATGAAAAGGTTGAACTTCAAGAAACCTACGCAGTTCAAACCAAAAAAATACCACGAATGCAGAAAAAAGCGGACCTACGATCATTTCTGTTATGTCCTCTCTCTTCCCAAACCTATCTACAGCGGAATGCGTGTCAACAAAGAGCATAAAACGCGGCGTAAACCAAGCATTCCCCTGTCACGTGCTCGTATGTGGCCCGCAGGCCCGAAAATTGTGCCTGTTTTGCTATAGGATTTCTAGACACGCCCACGGGTTTTTATCAGTTACGAAATTAATTACGACCTGCAATCTGCAATCAAAATCAAATCAACCTAATCACCATTTACAATCTCTGGCCAGAATCACTCATTTACTTGAAAATTCAGCTGTTCCGAAAATAATCCATTTCATCAATGAGCCATAACCTACCTGTCCTGAAGAAGGACTCTCGTCGATAGTCGGGTCGGTAATTTGCTTCTGCAGAGCGGTGAGTAACGGACTGAAATACTTAAAATTCTCATGCAGAAATTGTGTTTCCTAGGAAGTCATGAAAGGCAGATGTCGAATGGTTGAGGATGGGTACGGTTTGATGAGAATAAATGGCACTGGACATTCAGCGCATATAAGGATGTGGTTTGGAGGCGCCATTCTAACGCTCTTCCACCAGTGACCGTCAATGAAGTCATCAAACCCGCAACACTCCATTCATCGCGATCACTGCCTTTAAGGCCGCTAATAACAGCTCTGACTCCACAGATACTGTGATATTTCAGTAAGCTGACTTTAAGCAGGGTCGATCGGCTGACAAGCAATATAAACCGAGGAGGTTCATATCTTCGAAAATGGGCGGACTTTTCCAGGGAGATTCAGTTCGATGATCGTTGTTTCGAATTTCGGTAAAGGTGTATTTAGTGGGAAGGGGTAGGCAAGGTAAATAACGTGAAAATCCTCGACCATGGCTCTGTACTGCGTGAGAAAAATGTCGAGAATGGTATACGCGCGGAAAGCACAGACGGCTCGCGTGTGGCGACTGAATTTCCGCGCAGGAGAGCTTTCGAACAGGCGAAAATTTCGTCAAGTCGTCGACGAACCCTCGAAAAATTTTCACCCAGGAAGAGGAGCAATGAAAAAGCCATTCTCTTTCGAAACCAAAACGGAATTAATTACCTTTTTCCTGAATTCAAATCAAAGATCTCATCTGGAAATTAAGGAGAGAATTTCTATATCAAAATACTTCGTAAAAGCCTTATACCCCGACGAATCATAGGATTTTCCCACAGGAAGCATTGTGCACGGTTCAAACCTAATGGGGTTCTCGACAGTGGGCCATTAGGACGTTGTAAAACGCTGGCAGGAAAGGTGTCGCTATGGGTGGAATGACCCTTTTTGCCACCCCCTGTACAGCACATGTGAACCTTCTCCCTACCTTTACCCTACTCCTTTTATGGAGATAGAGGGATGGGAGGTAGGCTCGAGATTGGATTTAGCCTATAAAAGGCTAACCTAGAAATACTTAACCTGGTGCTATAAAACCGCTCCAGAAGGGAATGGGGAGGGTACGTGTTGATCCCGAAATCTGCCAAACGCCATGGTTGACCATGGATTCAAGCATTGTGCGTACTTAAAGGCACGTCCAGAATAAGGCACGCTCCCCTGTTCCATCCCGAGCGTAGTAGACAGGCGGACAAGCGTTGATGTCGCGCCCCTTTTGCGCTTGAAAGTGCGCGACAAAGGCGCTAGAAGCTCGCCAACCCGCAATCCACGCCTTCGTCCGCAAGCCCCGCCTTCCGCTGCTGCGGTCACATTGCGGTTCAATGGCATTTCCGCTAGAGCAAGTGCAGCTAGGTTCGTGAAACTCGTCCAACACGCCCCTTCTCTATCCCAAGGCGGCTGAAATAGAGGAGGTCCTTATTCGGGGCGTAATCGGTGGTTTCTCTTGCTTTTTTTTTTCCAGACCACTCTCCATCTCTAGCTTCATCAGTAAACGCTCTGCCACACCCGTGTTATCCCAGCCTTTTATCCCAGAGCTTGCCTTAAAAAACAACTGTGCCTAAGTTATGGCCCTTGAACTGAACAACGCGTTGATAAAAGCAAGAAGCATACCAGTACCTGGGCGCTTCTTCCAAATTCAGGAAACGCATTTCTTCGTAGAACTGCCATTTTGAGCTGTGATCTTCAAACATTTTGTTCTCACGACTGAACTGGTCTTTCAGCTGCTTCATCTTCTTTTTCAGCTGTGGCACTGAAAAACGATTCTACGAGGTCTTGAAAAAAATCCCGCCAAACTCAACTGACTTCCATCGTCGTTCACGATTTATTACATTGTTTATTATTTTATTTATTTTGTACCATCATAGTTTTGAACAATGAACAATAAACTAATCACAAGCGTAATCGGCGCAGTTGCTTGTGTTCATCTGCTTTTCCACCTGCCACGAAATCACGTTACCCGACAGGAGACGCCGCGCGCGAAGCTGTGCGCGGCGATGTCCGGACTTCCCAGGTCCAAGGGCATCTGTCAAACCGCGAGCCTTAGCGTTGCAGCGTCTCAGTGTCTGGGAGCTCTCACAAAAGCACACTATCGCAGCATCTCCTCTTTCTTTATCTTCTTCAAAAGTCCCAATAAGCCAAAAATGTGTGCTGTTTCAAGTACCTCTTCACCTTTGTCTTGACCCAGAAGCCTTGTAACCGACTTCCAGTGTTACATTCTATTTAACTTGACGCGAAGTGACTACAGTACGCGTTGCAACTCGTCCGATGACCCGTTTGCGCCTCCCTGCCGTCTCCGCGCGACGGGCCTCATGTCGGGTACCCCATGAACAAACATAAACGGAGCCCACACACACAACTGTCAAGGTATGCGCTACGGGTGGTAGATCCAGACGATCGCGTGAAAAAATATGTTGAATGTTAGAGTCCTTTACTCGCCATCTATTGAAAGCACGCTGAAGGTCCGAGGAAATGTAAGGTTCGCGTGGTCTAGCGGCGGTGGATGAAAATTGGCTTGCGCTCACAGAAAATATTCTGACCTGGTTATTAACACGTTTTGGTAATCAGGAAAAAAATTGAAGTTGTTAGCAATTTTTAAGGTGAAACCGTGAAGAGACCGCAAGTGAAGTTTTTGGGGACAATTAGAAAAGTGCAGAAAAGTATAGAAATTTACATAAAATTTTTTCCGAATGTTTTGGAATTTTTCCTGTACCCAAGTACAACGAGATGATAACTCACGTTCAAAATTGTAACCCATAACGATCATGCGTTGTTCTATTCGTTTCCACGCTTCATTCAGATCGTGACGACGATCGGCATCGAAACGGTAGATGATGTTCGTGTTCCAAATGCACGGCTCATCACGATAGCAGTGAATCAGCGCCACTTTCGATCGGGCATCCCATTCTTCACCGCTTGTTAGGTCTGAAGTGCAGCAATTCACCATGGCAATAGATCGATCGAAAGAGATACAAGGCAAAAAAAGGTAAGATCAGGTGAACATAGCGGCGTGGGAGAAGCGTTCAGTTATGGAAGCTAGAGTGGGAAGATGGTTCTCGAAAAGAGATGGAAACCGAGCGAAACCAACCCAATTCAGCACACAACGAACCCCACAATAGCGCCGCGCTTTTCAAGCAGCGCCACGTGGCAACCGACAGCGAAGGGTGGGGCTTGCGGACGAAGGTGTGAGTTGCGGGTGGACGAGCTCCTTGCGCCTTTGTCGCGCACTTTCAAGCCGCAAAAGGGGCGCGACATCAACGCTTGTCCGCCTGCCTACTACCCCCGGGATGGAACAGGCGAGCGCGCCTAATCTCGGAGCGTGCCTTTAAGTCGTATCCTATCCTTCTCTCAGGAGGAAGGAAATGAACATCCCGTTTAATTTCTTTGTATTCCAAAGCAAAGGGTCGAAGGACCTCCTCTATTTCAGCCGCATTCCACCATGATATATGTGAAGTATTCGCGTTTGTAAATAAGCATGTGCCAGAAGTAAGTACCAAGTCGTTAGAAACAGATGAAATCAACGGCTGGTTTTGACAGTGAAAAAGGAGCCTATTAGAAATCCAGGTAGAGGTGGTAAGTGGCGCAGGGATGAAGAAAAACTAAGAAAAGCCGTCTAGAACACGAGAAATGAGACCCTTCTCTGCCCTTTAAGTTCTGCATTGATGGGAGTCTCACCGGGGCCGCCCCATAACGCTAGCGCTCTCTGCTACACGCCTGGAATCAGACGGTAAGGGGTTACCCATCGGTGGGCGTGCACCGGCGCTGTATAAGATCCTGCTAGGGGACCACGGACAACAGTCCTCTGAACTGCCTCAATGTGCTGCCCTTATCTGTGCTCTTTCGCTTGAAGAGCGAGGCACTGCTACTGTTGTCAGCCACACGATTAGTTGCGCAATCCCCTCCAGGTTTAGTCTTGAACCAATTAATATACCTTTCAGCATTCGAAGCTAACACAACAGCAATTCTCTATCCGCCTGAGCTCTAGCCTTTCGCGGTAGGGAACATATGGGGCGGTATTCAACTCCTTCCCCCAGGGGATACATCCCCCTACTCTGATTCAATCCTCTGGGGGGACAAAAAAGGGTTGCGTCATAGGACCTAGCATACCTCTGTGTTTCTACCTGCCAGACAGTTAGAGCAGCGCGACCCCTCAGGGGAAAAGTGCTTCATCAGTGGAGGGTAGTAGCGCTGCTCTAACTGTCTGGCAGGTAGAAACACAGAGGTATGCTAGGTCCTATGACGCAACCCTTTTTTGTCCCCCCAGAGGATTGAATCAGAGGAGGGGATATATCCCCTGGGGGAAGGATTGAATACCGGCCCATGGACGAGTTCAAGTATTAGCGTGATCCCTTTCAGGCCGTTGATGACATACTCTTCGCCGCGAAACGCGCATCGTCTGCACCCTTAGGGGTCCGCCTGCCTTCCCACTTGGTATATTTCCGTTTCTCGACCCCAGACCTTACCGCGGTATCGCCTTTTGAGATTTATTTGCTCCTTAGCTAGGGAAAGGATAGCATACGGCTCTTGGAACTGAACACATGTGCAGCTATTCACGCATCGCCTCAGTCATTTTCCTCTTGGATAGTGCTGTAACGAGTATAACACCGTAACGAGGGGAAAAATATATGTGAGTTAAAAGAAAGACATTCTGTGACCACATTA